GCCCAGGGGAGGAAACGGCTCCAGCTGTGCTGATCTTAGTGGCAGTATGACCGGAGGTAACACCCGAGCTCCTGGATCCTTTGCTCAGTCTGGTCGTTGGTCTGAGGATGGTACCCGGAGGACAAGCTCATGGTCACTCCCAGGAGTTGGAAGAAGGCCTTCCATACACGAGAGATGAACTGGGGACCCTGGGCTGAGACCACATCTTCCGGGATGCCGTAGTTTCTGAAAACATGGGTAAATAAGCACTCTGCTGTTTTAAGTGCTGTTGGCAGACCTTTGAGTGGTATACATTTACAGGCCTTAGATAAACGGTCGACTATGACGAGGATACAGGTGTTTCCGTCGGAGATGGGTAGGTCAGTCACAAAATCCTCCCCTAAGTGGGACAAGGGTCTCCATGGTATGGGCAGCGGGACAAGCTTGCCTACGGGAAGATGACGAGGAGTTTGAGACATGGCACAGACTGAGCAGCTTCGGACGTACCTGGTGACATCCCAGGCCATACTGGGTACTCTGTGAACTGAGCCCAGAAGGGCTTGACTTTGTGATGTTGGGACATCCCTTCTGGGCCTCCCAGCAGAGCAGGCTCGGTGCGAGTGGCGACACGGATGTCTTTGGAGATGTTTCATTGAATAGGGCCAACTATCAGAGCTGGAGAGTGGGTTCTGGTTCTGTTGGTGTGTCGGGAGAGTGCAAGCGCGATAGGGCATTGGCTTTGCAGTTGCGATTTCCGGGACGGTAAGTGATGGTGAACTGGAACCGAGTAAAGAACAATGCCCATCTTGCTTGTCGTGGGCTGAGTCTTTTAGCATCTCTGAGATATTGCAGATTTTTATGGTCAGTGATGACAGTGAACGGATGGTGGGCTCCCTCCAGCCAGTGATGCCACTACTCCAGAGCTAATTTGATGGCGAGCAGTTCCTGGGTGTAGATGTTGTAGTTCTGCTCCGCTGGGGTCAGTTTTCTGGAAAAGTAAGCGCAAGGATGGAGGCATCCACTTCCACCACAAAGGGAGCTTGGGGATCAGGATGCCGAAGGATTGGGGCCGTGCTGAAGGCTTCCCTGAGCTGGTTGAATGCTTCGTGGGCATTGGGGCTCCAGGACAGGGACTTGGGCTTTCCTCGGAGCAAGGAAGTAAGAGGAGTCGTGAGTATGCTGAAGTTATTGATAAACCTTCGGTAGAAGTTTGCGAATCCAAGGAATCTTTGCAGGTCCTTAACAGTTTGGGGCTGTGGCCACTCCTTGATGGCTGTTACCTTCCCCTGGTCCATCTGAATCCCATCCTGGCTGATGACGTAACTGAGGAACTGAACCGTGGAGCGATGGAATTCTCACTTCTCCAGTTTAACCCTCTGGAGTCCGAGGGTGTTTTGGGGCCCTGGAGAAGTTTTTACATGCCCTGACATTTGTGCTTTTTTCAGTTGGCCATTTTGTGAACCATGCTGTTTGTTGGTGCAGTGCTTGTGCTGTTTTACCCCCATTTGTATGTTTAGAGAAATTGTCTGGATATTCATTGTTTGTGTAACGGTAATCTGGCTTACCTGACCATTACCTGTTGCATGATTTTGATTCTGGATTTCCCCCTCTGAACTTGATGTTTCTTTGTAAATATTTATTGTGAATATTGTACATTAGTTATTGGGAAAGTAAGGAGTCCGACGCCATCTTTTGTTTTTGTAACGTTTGGATCTGTGTTTTTGGATTAGGTAGTTAGGTTAGAGAATTGTATTTTATTTTAGTTTCTTTACTTCGGATAGTTAATTTAGAGGGTTTCATATTAAGAAAGTTTTGTTTATTATTTTGGAACTGTTGGCTCCTGAAAGTGAACTCCCAAATAAATATTCAAAAGAAGTTGATTGTTCACGCTTGGTCTTTTTTTTCATGTTGCGCTCTACCCCTAGACGGGGCGTAACATGAAATTGGGGGCTCGTCCTTTCTTGCTAACTTGGTAGCGCATCCATTTCATTCGTTCCGGTGGGAATTAGTCAGGTGTTTATTTATTCTGTTGTGGTTTCTCTTTGACTGGGATTTTTCTTTTTGTAAGGGAGGAGTTACGGTAATTAGTATGTCATCCAATTTCGAACTTGATAAATTTACGATCGCGCCGACAGTAGAACAATTGGAGAAATGTCGTAAAGACGATTTGTTAGTGATCGCAGATTTCTATGATCTAGTTGTACCTCGAAATGCATTGAAGAGAGAGGTTAAGGCGGCACTGCACACGGAGCTGGAAAAACAGAACATTTTACCTGGTGAGAGTGTGGTTACAGGTGTTGCAATAACTTAGCTATCTGAAGATTTGGAAACTGCATAGGCAGAGTTCAAGTCCCAAGATGTGGCTCGGATAGATCCTGTTGATCCTTCTCTGGTAAAAGACCCCTTACTGGCCATCCAGTTGAAAGAACTGGAAGTGGAGCTAAGCCGAAGCCAATACCAAAGTCAGCTGTTGCATGTCCGAGCGGTGGAGCTTGAGACACAGCGAGACATCTGGTTGAAAGAGCTGGAGCTCGAATTAAAGTTTGGTCAGGCTAAGCAGTTTCAATCTCCAGTGTTACGGAGAAATACTCATGTGCAGACACCGGTAATCACTTCTACTCTTCACCCTGCAACGTTGCCTGTGTCTACGGTAAGTCCTGACCCTGATGTTAATATTAGTAAACAAATTTTGTTAGTCCCTACGTTTATAGAAAGTGAAGCTGACACATATTTCACTGTGTTCAAGCGCATTGCAGCCACGTTAAAGTGGCCGAGAAATATTTGGCCTTTATTGTTGCAGTGTAAAGTTGTTGGGAAGGCGCAAGAGGTATGTTCGGCGTTGACATTTGAACAAAGTATGAATTATGATTCGGTTAAAGCGGCTGTATTAAGAGCGTACAAACTTGTTCTGGAAGCGTACCGTCAAAAATGTAGGGCTCATTTGAAAAACCCCAGTCAAACATTTGTGGAGTTTGCACATGAGAAGACTACATTGTTTAAGAAATGATGTGTAGCGAGCAAAGTCACTACTTTTGAGCAGGTAAAGGAACTAATTTTGATGGAAGAGTTCAAAAACTGCATTTCAGAAAAGGTGGTAATTCATCTCAACGAACAAAAAGTTTCATCCTTAACAAAAGCTGCTGTTTTTGCAGATGAATGTGCTCACACACAAGGTTGCTTTTCAGTCCCCACGTTTGTCGTCGCACTGTTGTGAATCGTAACTATAGTTCTAAGAGTACAGACGCTGTATCCCCAGATAATCACACAACTGATTTATCATTGACATGCGAGAATGTTATTTTTTGTCACGAAAGAGGACATTTGATTGCTACGTGTCCTGCATTACAGAGGAAAGTCAGAGGAAGGCTCAGAATGCATCCAAGTATGTAGCTTTTGTATGCGCTCATTCTCCTGATTCATTTCCCTCTATTGATCCTACTTTTGAACCATTTGTTTGTGAAGGTATAGTGTCATTATCTGAATCAGATTCAAATCCTAAACCGGTACGTATTCTTCGGGATACTGGTGCTGCACAAACCTTCATCTTGGCAGATGTGCTTCCATTTTCAGCACAATCTAGTTGTAACTCAGAAGTGCTAGTTCAAGGAATAGAACTTGGTGTGGTAAGAGTTCCTTTGCATACTGTGTACTTGCGTTCAGACATTGTGACTGGTTCAGTTAAAGTGGCTGTACGTAATGAACTACCAGTGAGGGGTGTAGTTCTAATTCTTTGGAATGATTTGGCTGGAAGTAAAGTTGTTTGTCTTCCTGAAGTTACTGAAGTCCCTAGTGTATCTCAGGATGATGTGTTAATTCAAAAATTTTCCAGCGTATTTCACTCATGTGTTGTTACTCATGCACAGGCTCGTAAATTCGACAGTGAGATTGATCTCTCTGATTCATTCATGAATTCAAATGTTGGTGACACTGAAGACACTAATGTGGAAGCTTGTAGGCCTATACAAAATTTGAAGCTGGAACCTAAGTTCGATTTCCCATTTGACAAGAGACAGTTGATGGAGGCACAAAATGCTGATGATACCTTGAAGTCCTGTTTTTCTGCAGCGGTTGACAAAGCTGAGATAGCTGACCAGAAAACTGCGTACTTTATTGATGACGGAGTGCTAATGCGTAAGTGGAGACCTGAGAGCTTAAAGCAAGATTGAATCTCTGTGTTCCAAGTAGTCGTTCCTAAGTCATATCGAGAACATGTACTGAGTGTGGGGCATGACCATGAGCTGTCCGGACATTTGGGTATTAAGAAGACCTACCATAATCTTCTTAAACATTTCTTCTGGCCCGGAATGAAGTCTGCCGTTACCCAGCATTGTCAATCGTGTCATGAGTGTCAGGTTGCTGGAAAACCAAACCAGGGTATTTTTCCAGCTCCCTTGAAACCCATTCCTGTAATGAGTGAACCATTTGAGAAACTAGTTATTGATTGTGTCGGTCCTTTGCCAAGAACTAAATCTGGTCACTCATATTTGTTAACGCTGATGTGTTCTGCTACTAGGTTCCCTGAAGCCATTCCTCCACGTTCACTAAAGACCCCGACCCTGGTGAAAGCCATAGTGAAGTTCTGTACGACATTTGGTCTTCTGAAATTCATCCAATCCAATCAAGGATCCACATTTGTCAAGACTTTTCTGTAAGGTAATGAAAGAGTTGAGTATTAAACACTGTACATCTAGTGCTTACCATCCACAGTCGCAGGGTGTCCTCGAAAGATTTCACCAAACTCTTAAAACTATGATCAGAACTTACTGTCTCCAACATTAGAAAGATTGGGATGAGCAGATTCCTCTTCTGTTGTTCGCTGTTCGCAACACCACTCAGGAATCCCTTGGTTTCGCTCCGGCTGAATTAGTCTTCGGACATACCCTTCGTGGTCCATTAAAATTTACTACCAGAGCTTCTGTAAGAATTTCTCTGTTGTTGTGAAACCCCTCACAGATATCCTTCGCAAATATGTCAATTTCAAGTGGAATGAAAACTGTCAGTGTGCATTTGTTTCTTTGAAGAGTCTGTTATGTAGTTCTCCTGTTCTAGCTGCTCCTGACTTCAGTCGACCCTTCAAATTTGAAGTGGATGCCAGTGGAAACGGTGCGGGTGCGGTCCTATTACAAGACGACCAAGGAGTCGGCCATCCCGTATGTTACTACTCTAAAAAGTTTAACCGTCATCAAGTAAACTATAGTACTATTGAGAAGGAAGCCCTAGCTCTTTTATTGGCTCTAAAACATTTTGAAGTATATATTGGTTCTAGTCCACAACCCATTGCTGTATACACTGACCATAATCCTCTCATTTTTCTCCAAAGAATGTGTAACACAAAACAGAGACTTATGCGTTGGTCACTTGTCTGTCAGAGCTTTAATCTGGACTAAACCTTCTACAAGAAGGGTGCTGACAACTTGATAGCAGATTCTCTGTCTAGGTGTTAATTGTAAACCATGTTTACTCTTATGTGTGGGGGTGTTACGACCCTAAAGTTTTGTTCTGCTGGTTTGTGTGTGTCTGCCCAGGTTGCTGCTGATTGGTTCCTACAGACTCATTGATGTCGTCCTCTGATTGGTATTCTCTCCCTTAAAAGAGATGAGGGCATTTCCTTCAAGGGGGGGTGTGGTGGTGGTGACCATTTTGTGAACCATGCTGTTTTGTTGGTGCAGTGCTTGTGCTGTTTTACCCCCATTTGTATGCTTAGAGAAATTGTCTGGATATTCATTGTTTGTGTAACTGTAATCTGGCTTACCCGACCCTTGCCTGTTGTACGATTTCGATTCTCCCTCTGAACTTGATGTTTCTTTGTAAATATTTATTGTGAATATTGTACATAGTGATTGGGAAAGTAAGGAGTCCGACGCCATCAATTGTTTTTGTAACGTTTGGATCTGTGTTTTTGGATTAGGTAGTTAGGTTAGAGAATTGTATTTTATTTTAGTTTCTTTACTTCGGATAGGTAATTTAGAGGGTTTAATATTAAGAATGTTTTGTTTATTATTTTGGCAAGTGAACGCCCAAATAAATATTCAAAAGAAGTTGATTGTTCATGCTTGGTCTTTTTTTCTACCCCTAGACGGGGCATAACACAATATATTGATTTAAATTTTCTAAGACACATTTTGTGTAGAAAAGGAATATGCGAGGGGGCGTGAATGGTCATGGATAATGCTGTGATTCAGTCAGGTGTGTGACTGAGAGGGAATTGCTACAAGAAAGAATATGAGGAAAAAAGAAATGTATCTCTTTTTTGTTTGTAGTTTATTTAGAATATATATAACTATCACATAATTTTGGGAGTGTGTGCATCACATGGTCTTAGCTGTGGTCCAGGTTCTTGTGCGGCCAGGAATCTCAGAGCCTGTGGAACTTGTCAACGTCAGTCTCTGTTTTCCATGACCGGGTGGGCTGCTTATTTACAACAGGTTCTTTTGCACCGTTATTCTCACATCTGAAATAAAGTAAGCATGCTGTTTACACAAACTACATTATTAACATTATTGTGATGTTCACTGATACTAGTACTAATTTATTGAAACAAAGAACACAATTACCACATAGCAAACCTATTTTACCATGCAGTAAATGCATCAAATGAAAGTAACATCTGTAAAATAGTGAATGCACACTTACTCTAAGATTCTGAACGGAGTTGAAAACTGAATGAGTGTTCCCCTTCCTATGAGAGGTGCAGGTGAATGCAAGAGTGGTGTATTCCCCACAGTACCTTAGTATAGTATGCATACTTCATGAGAAAACAGAATGGCAATTATTACGTTTTAACACTATTAACCACAAATAATATTACCACATATTCTAGGAATAATACAATTATTATACTGTGCACTTACTCAGTATGGTTTTCCAACGAACTCAAAACTGAACGGCATGCGTGTGCCTTTCTTGTGCAAGATGCCGGTGATGCAGCCACAGTCCCAAACGAAATTCAAACATTTCAGCGTCATTACTCCATAAGACACGGGTATAACACATTCAAAATATTTACACCAGAACAGATCTTCATGAACAGAAGCTTAGTTACATTCATAAACACAAGCATGCTTTGTATGTAGGCCTATACAATCCAAAAACTATAGTTATAAACATATATGGCTATATTCGTGAACAGAGAATATCCTATCACAGTAAAGTTTTGACTAATCATTCTTACTGACATTAGGCTAGAAACATTATAACTCATATTACTTTTATATCGTATTTCTGTCTATGATATAGAACATTAAAAAACATCCCGACATCGTGAGACATTTAGATGCTGTGAATGAAACTTCATAATATTTCACTTGATTATACATTTAGTCAGGAATTATAGTTTGGAGAAAGTCTGACTAGTAAAATGTGTACAAGTTATGTGAAAACTAATACAAGTAGGTTAATAAAAAATAATTATTCATGTTTATGATCACTGCTGGATCAAGCCGCTGCATTGTTTTTTCCTGAGGTAATCCA